TTTTTTTTCGGAATCTTGTTATTCTGCGTAAGATTAAAAACCTAACTTTTTCTCTATTACTTTGTCGGCATTTATCGTGCTAGTATGTGAAGTCTAAACCGTATGCATTGTGAACAATTCAGAATGCTCATGGATCAAGTGCGCAAATTTTGCTATCAAATGAAGCAAATTCACGGAAATGCTCCCCATCGGATGTCCAGGATGCGAAGAAAGATTCAGCACGTATGAGGAGTTAGCAATCCACTGCGGCAATCAACGTGCTAATGTTGACGCAAGTTTTGTTCAAACGACTGGAGCTGGACCTAAACCTAGTAACATACAGCCGCCGTTCAAGACTGTATGTTTGATCTCACATCGTAATATGGACGGTAAATAAGGTTAACTCATGATTTTTAGAGATAAATAACCTTTAGAGGTTCTATTTTACCTTTAGAGGTTAGGTAATAAACTCTGCAAGAAAGAAGGAGAAGCTGTATTCAGTCGACGAACTGACGGACACACGACTCAACAAATACTGCAGCTCGACCACGTGTTCTTGCAAACATGCTTTCTTTATGGCAGAAGGGATCCGCCTGAGGATGGAGAGAACATCGTTTAGACTTAGTTGCTTGAATACAGCAACCTCCCGAGCATGGGCCCATATGTCATGTACAAGCGAGGGATAGCCGTGCACAATCTGTGGTAATGGTACTTGGTAGCTAAACGCAGTTTGAATTGTTCTTTTCACCCATCTCACTTCTTTCTTTTTGAGTTGTCGAACTGTCAGTCAGTCTGAATCATATTTTAACATTTCCATGCAAAAGTCTTGAATCACTTTTTTCTTTGAACTGTTTCGCACCTTGCACATGCTTATTCCGCTGCACTTAGTGCGTTTTTACTGGTGGTTATTGGAGTCTTGAATCCGGTGTGCGTTGTGTTCAACAATTTGATTAAAGCTACTTACATATCCTTAATTTGCTCGTTATTTGAAACCGGTCCGCCATATACAAATCTAATAAAGTCATCTGACACAATTTTCATAGGTGCTGCAACTCGCACTGCATATACTTCTTGTTTTGTGTTGCTCCAGTCCATGTTTGCCTGTTTTGATGCATGGTTGTTGTGACAGCTTTCGAAAATCTTCTGTTCCGTATTCTCAGGCTCTCGAAGGTCCTTTCCCTTTGTTCGTGATCGTTATAAAAGGTGCTTGGTCGAT